AGCCCTGCGCAGAGCTGTGTACTAAGCTGAGACAGAGGACCAGGGTCTAGGTAGCAGGGTGGCCAATGCTTCATAAAAGATCTCAGTTTGAGCAGAGGAGCGCCCGGATATCCTAACGGAGTGGTGCACCAAGCTGAAGTCAAGAGGCGCCCCCAGGCGGGTAGGTAGACACAACTCGCAAGCTCAGCTACAAGAGATTATCAGGCCCCAGTACAGAGACGGCTTTAAATTCAGGCAGAGGAGTGCCCAAACAGAAGAAAAGAAGTACGCCGAATCTGCGGAGAGATGCGAGCCAGCAAGCGCCAGTGCTAACGCCCCCTAGTACCAGCAGGTAAGCGCCTCTAAATAAAGGCAGATGGAGCCCATAAGTGTTGATATAGGAGCGCTCCAGGCACAATCAGAAGCCCCTTATAAGCGGCAGGACGCCAACACACACGTAGAAAGGTACCCCAGGCGCACGTTGATGTGCGCCCCAAGCGCAGCTAGGGCGACGCTCAGAAGACCGGATAGACGAGCACCATGAACCCAACCGGATCTCAGTCGCCTAGGTACATAGCAAACCCAAGACCAAGTCCGAGGCCTGCCGGACCAAAACATTGCGACGCCTCAAACTGAAGAAAAAATCTAAGTTAAACTTAGACTCGGCAACGGTAGGAAGAGGGCGCTTACAAGCTTAGAGAGAGGACAGTTCTAGGTCTGGGTAGACGGCAACCCACAAATGGAAGCACTCTTGAACCCTTCAAACCTGGATGGGTGCCCCAAGTCAAGTCAATGGGGCATCCCAAATGCAAGCATATGGATGCACCTCATGTCTAGTTAGGTAGCACTCTAAATCCCGATAAGTTGATTTTGAAAGAGCTAAACTCAGGCGAAAGGGAGGCTTTACGCCTTCAAACCAAATCTGCGCAGCAGGAAGCTGAGGCTGAGAAACCCTTAACACGCGCCCGGGTGGCCGGTCGAATGCCCTTTGCTCCGGTGGGGGAGGTTAGCTGACCCCTGAGATCTCAAAGATGAAGAGACTTAAATACTCCAAATTCACATGATCAACTGACCTTTGCGTTTTCTCGCTTGTGCCAAAAATTGAGGTTCTTAGGTCATGACGTTTGGGCCAAACAAGGTCAAACAAAACCAAACTCCAGATTATCGTCCAATGCGCCCTCAGACCTCCTTACGCAAGCGCCTGGAACCTAGATACCTATTCGAAGCAAAAGTCCACTGGCGCTCATTAAAGGTCATTTTAACTTTTAGAAGGTCTTAGTGGCCAAAATCCCACGAGATTATTTTGACTTTCGCATCAAGCGTCAAGGATTACGTTTAGGTTGGATTGAACGGGCGTCAAGGATTACGCTAGGCGGTATGTTCTTAAAAACACAATACTGACCTGAGTGATTTTGGGTAGTGACCTACTCTAATTTTGAGGAAGTCCATGAACGAAAGGTTTGCGCGGCTACAACGCGACGGTCGTAAATTATTCTGTAAAAAGCTTCAGGGGGACGAAATTGCCCCGCCCCGCCCCTTCCCCCCCCCCCCCCCCCCACCACCCCGGTCGCGTGTTAAACGAAAGCAGAATAAACCTCAAAGTAAGGGGTCTACTATTTAAGGCAACTTATTACGTTTCGAAGGTAAATTACTGGGTATCGTAAGGTTTAGGAGGAGATAAACATGAGCGACGCTGTAATTATAAGTATTCGCTGTTGCCGTGGTGCAAACTGGGAATAGCAGGACATGGCTTCAGTGGGAGCCAAATGGCCGGCCCTCAACGTGCGTGCCGGCAGAAGAAATCCTCCGCTGCCGTGTTAAAAGAGGTTTATGCTAGCAATCCGCTCCACCCTTGCACTTGGGTGAAACGCAACGAACCGAGAATATCAGTAGCCTCCTGGCGACTCGGCGAAACAAGGACGTGGCTTGGTCTTTTTCAGCCCATCCACATCCGTCCGAGAGAAACCATACGTCGCCGGTGGACCAGCTTAACCAAGCGCGGCTGCTGCTGATTGTATTATTGCGAACCTTGGCGAAATCCAGCGAGTGGCTTTTCTAACGCCTCGTAAGTACATGTCATATAGATAAACACAGAACATGCAACATACGCAAATGGGGCGCAACGCCAGCGATACACATACGATGTTACTGCAGGGGGTCCAGTGACACCAAGCGAGCCCCCTGTGCAGACGAGCAGTGCTACATCCACGAGCTTCCCGAGCGCAGCTTACCTGAGCGTTGGACAGAGTTCGACGCAGGCCCCGTCAGCTCAAATGCGCTCCCCGTTACAGACAATGGCGGAAGCCTCAGCACACGACAGCGCTACTGGCGCTGCTGAACATCGGCAGCGCGCATAACTCCAAGGCAAGGTTTGCCGCCTCAGGGTTGTCGACGCCGAATGCGTCGACGCGTTGCGCCAAATGCTCTTGGAATGGATGGGTCTATTGCGGGAGTTTGAAGCCGTTTTTGTCATCCCTCACCTGGGTACGGGCATGCGAGGAAGAACGGAAGGGCATCATAACTCAGCCAGGAAAACGGGAGTTGTCACTGGTGCAGTGCCGTCATGCCGTGCGTCATGGCACATGACCTGGCATGGGCGTTCAAACCGTTATACCCTTTTCAAGGCCCCGAAGTTATCGCTGACTGGCGGCATGGTGCCCATGTTCAGCCCCTAGCCGGGGCGGCATGGTGAGGAGCTGCAGAGCCCGCGAATTCGCCTCGTGTTCATCCTCCATCGCACGAAGTATTCGTGCGAACATCACATGACAACCAGGGGTGCATGTTGTCTATGATATAACAGCTTACTGGCTTGTATCACCGCGATGGTGAGTGGGACCTGAGACTAGCCGGCTGGAGGTCCGGGGGTCACCGGCTGGGGGCCCGGGGAGCTAGACCTGGACTCACCGAATAGAGGTCAGGGGTTCTCCGGCTGAAGATCTGGGGCTCATCGGCTGGAGGGCAGGGGCTCACAGGCTAGAGATCTGGGGCTCACCGGCCAGAGATCTGGGGCTCACCGGCTAGAGATCTGGGGCTCACCGGCTAGAGATCTGGGGCTCACCGGCTAGAGATCTGGGGTTCACCGGCTAGAGATTCGGGGCTCGCCGGCTAGAGACCCGGGTTTCGCCAGCTAGATATCTGGAACCCTCAAACTGGAGACCCAGACGCAGCCGGCTGAAGACGGGAAACTAGCCCGTGAGTGAATTGTGCGTGCCTTCTGGGCGAAGGGCACACACAAGGAGGCGCAATATAATACGCAACATAGATCGCAGTGTTTTACATGTGGACATCGCATGACATATAGGTACCCTGGACCTTTTGTTTATTTACGTTGGATTTCAACAAGCGTGTGTTTAAGAGATACATGTACAGCTACGGTCCAGTGAGCGAGGTGTTCACTCCTCTTGCTTGTTGAGTTGAGAGCAGGTGATCCTTTCAGCCCACGCTGCCCGCAGACAGGGTGTGACTGCAGCGAGTTCATCGGAACTGTTTGGACGGGTTGTCAGACGACCTTCACGTGCTAACTCATACGGTAGAAAACTGCAAGCGGGGCGACTTATTTCCTGGTTAGCAGGAAACAAGCCGCAACGTCGAAGTTACGTGATTTATTGGCATGCTGGACTTATAAAATCGATGGCATATCACGCAGAGGCGGGTCCTGAAAGCCCGTGGCACACCACAAATACTTGGCCGCAAATGCCAGCGAATATGACAGGTAGTGGCGTAAAAGGGCATTTTCGAATGAATAAGATGTTGCATATCATTTCTATTTTCAAGCCAGTACGCAGGAGTCCATCCGGAAACCTCCTTCTCTTAAAAAGGCTGCATTTTCTTGCGTACGGACTGTTAAAATTCCGAAATTTATTCAACCATATGAAAGCCATTCCAGTTATATGACTTAAAAACTGGACAGCGACACACAAAACATTGACTTGGTTAGCACCAATGGCGTGGTTTACGTACGTTGCATTTGTACTGCCCACCTGCTCTAATTGCGTGCCAAAGTAACCAATCGAACTATCTCAAGCGTATCAAGATACTTTAACTTAACATGCCATATTACATCCATGTGCCGCATGCCAACGTCGCATACTACGCCGAATAGCTTATATTATGTACACGTTTGATGAATAATGCGCCGGTCAGAGGGCGGGCACGGTAGCCTGTTGACCACACGTGACGTCACTCTAGCCCGACGAGGGAACCGAGACGTCTGAAGCAAAGCTGATGGCAGCAGTGTTTTCTGAGGTCATCTGAGAGGGCTACAGGCTACAGCGACCTCGTGGAGGGGATTTTTACTGCTGTTGCCCATGGATCGACCAACCATCCATTTCTTATCTAGATCCGGGTCCATAATGCAACTCTGAAAATGTTTTCCGATGGAGTCTTCCACATAACGTTTGGTTAACGCCAACGTCGGCTTAGTTAGCAACGAACAACAGGGCTTAATAGACGAGATAAATCGATAGTAACTTGACCTAGAGAGCAGCTGTACGAGAATGAGCGGTAAAATGCTGCATGATCACAGACTAGTAATGTGATTGGCAGCCATCTTACTTGAGTTGTACTGTCATTGGTTTATTCGTTGCCGGCATTTTTTTTACCAATGTTCGGTACGTACTGAGAGAGGCGCTGCATTAGGAACTCACGAAACATGGTGTGAAATTATGGTATGAAATTAACCAATTCTCTTGCCTGAGATGTTCGTAAGTCAGTGAGGGTAGTCAGACAGCTGACGGCATGGTGGCACAACCGCTTCTATACGAGCTGTGGGAAAAACCTGCGCCGACAACACTTTTACATGCGAAACGAGTGGTTCAAGGCAGCACGTGAAACATACGCAATGCTTATCCATTGAGGGAATGCACTCGAGCCTGCTTTCGTTCATGCTTTCTCGGGCCAGGTGCCTGTGTAAGTGTTCAGTTCAGGTAGCTGTTCACGAATGGCCAGTGCCTCAGCGACATCGCGGTTGACTATCTCTGCACCGACAGAGTATGGTCGCTTTCGGCTGAGGGGCGGCTCACGCATACGGGACTGCCTCTGGGGCGTGTGGTCGCCCAGAGCCGTCTGCTTGGTCCGGTTGGTGGCGTCCCCGTAACGCCGGCTGAGGCGCGGCTCACGCGGATGGGACTGCCACTGGGGCATGTGGTCGCCCAGAGCCGTCTGCTTGATCCAGTCGGTGGCGTCCCCGTAACGTCGGCTGAGGCGCGGCTCTCGCGGATGGGACTGCCTCTGGGGCATGTGGTCGCCCAGAGCCGTCTGCTTGATCCAGTCGGTGGCGTCCCCGTAACGTCGGCTGAGGCGCGGCTCACGCGGATGGGACTGCCTCTGGGGCGTGTGGTCGCCCAGAGCCGTCTGCTTGGTCCGGTTGGTGGCGTCCCTGTAACGCTCGTCGGATCGGTGCCTGACGCAGCGCCTGGTCTTACCGGTGTGAGCTTATGAGCAGCGCGTGTGCACCACAGAGCCAGATCCAGAGGGCGGGTGGGGGGGGGGGGGGGAGGGCACGGGGTCATGGCCCTCCTTAAACCCCGAACGGGCACTTCGGCTCTGATGGGACCATGGCCGGCCGAACTGACACAATTTTTTACACAGAACGCAGCAGTGTAAGCGAAAGTAAAGAGCCCACGAGCAGACAAAAATTATTCCTTACTGATCGAGAGGGTGGTGATTGCGAGGTCCTAAAACTGCTTATGCTGTCCAGAGGCCTTACGCTGTTTCCGGGGGCCCTAAAGGTCAACATGCGTGGTCAACCTAATTGTTAAGGGTCCCTCTACGTTGCCCTTGATTTCTTTGCATTTACTCGGAGGGACCCGCACTGTTGCTGGGGCCCTGCCTGCTATCGTGCCGGGGCACTCTTTTTTAAATCAGGGACCTTCCACGGATTCTTTCCATTCGGCCAAAACGCTCTATACGCTAGAGTCGGGGACCCTATATGTTGACATACCAGGGTATTCTTGTTTGCTCAGGGGCCCTTTACGCTGGCGACGGTTAATCTTCTCGCACACTCACAATATGCTCATGGGCCATCTATGTATATTGGTTTAGGGTGCTTCCAATTTTCTGTCACTTGCTTAGGGCCTTACGCTCCTGTCTGGGGTCATCTGTTAACCTGCTTGGGCACACTCGGTCGTCTGAGGCCATCCAAACTGAGTCTTGAGCACTTCCTACTTAGATGGAGAGCCCTATGCACTTGTCGGGGCCCCTATCTGTTAACCTGCTCGGGTGCACTGGATTGTTCGGGGGCCCCGCACATTGGGTTTCGGTATTTTAATGTGGGGTCCTACGCTCCTGTCGGGGCCATCTGATGGCCTGCTCGGGTACACGCAATCTTTCGAGGGCCCTCCTTCCTGGGTTCTGGACGTCTCTTATTTGAATGGAGGTTCCTGCGCTCCTGCCGGGGCCCCTTTTGATAACATGCTCGGGCACACTCGATCGTTTGGGCTCTCTACGTTGTGCCGTGGGCATTCATTATTTGAATATGGAGCTCTTGTCGTGGGACCCCCTGACAAGAGCTCCACGCTCTTGTCAGGGGGTCCCATCTGTTAACTCGCTCTGGCACACTCTATTATTCCTGGGTCCTCCATATTGTGTACTGGGTACTTATTATTTGAATGGGTGGCCCTATATTCTTATCGGGGTACCATCTATCAAACTGCTCGGGCCAATGACGGATCCGGAAAAGGAAGGCACCGAACTGTGCTCACCCTTGCGCCCCTTGGGGACCCATAGACTCTAAACGGGCCCATAACCAGGCGGTGGGGCTTGGGGCAGCTTTCAAATACAACACAACAAAATTGGACGTCTTTACGCCTCCAGACGACCAAGAACAGTCTCAAGCAAAAGTGAAGCCCCTGAGCGGAGAAACTCATTACGCTGTCCAGAGGCGTTACGCTGATGTCGGTGCCCTATAAGTCTACTTGCCGGGTCAATCCGATCACTTGGAGGCCTTCCACTTTGCCTTTGATCTCTTTGCATTTTCTGGTAGGGCCCCACGCTGCTGTTTGGGCACTATCTGCTCACATGCCTGGGCACTCTTGATCGACCAGGGGCCCTCCACAGATTCTTCCCATTTGCCCGAAAGGCTCCATACGCTTTTGTTGGGGCCTCATATGCTGGGCGGACTCATTTACTCAGGGCCCTTCATATTGGTCTTGGATTCTTTCCACTTCCTCGGATGGCCTTATGCTGTTGTTGGGGCCAATATAAGGCGGGACACTAGCCACTCGATGCTCAGAGGCCCTTTTCATTGATCTCTGGCCCCTTCCCCTTGATCTCGTTTGCGGAGGACCCTTCACACCCATCGTAGCCCCTTCCGTTAGCCTACCCGGGCATTCCTGATCGCACAGGACATTCATTCATGCGCACTGGTCTTCGGTGCGCACCCGCACACTGGCCGCTTTGCTCGAAGGGCCCTTTTGCTATGGTTGGCGTCCTATATGTTAGCCTGTCGGGGCACTTAAATCCTTCAGAGGCCTATCACGATGGTCTTGTGCTTTTCTCGCCTGCTTTGAGGACCCATGCTTGCTAACAGAAGCCTCCTTGTTGGGCCTGCCGGCACCCATGATCGCCCAGGCTTAGTAGCTGTTGGTCTTGGTGCCTTGGCCTTAGAGCAGCAGCCGGAAATGCACCGATGAAATACATTGTATGTAATTCATTTTAATGCTAAGATATTTTGTACTCCATTATAACACATGAAGCAAGCACTCTGCATAAGTCATCAGCTGTCAGCTGATCACATCGACCAGCCGGCTTACTCTAAATATGTTTGAAATTAAGTTCGTGCTTGATTTTAATGGTATTTAACAGCCAACCTTAGCTTGTTTGCTATTTTTCCGAAAACCTTAGCCTCAAAATGACAAGATTCACAATGATCTGAAGGAAACGAATAAGTTCCAAGGCTGTGCACACGCAGCCCGCCTAGTTTTCTGGGGATGCGCACAGCAAGACGGGTTTCCGTATTAAGATAACACACTAGGAATATAAATATTTGTTGGTCGGACTTCGAGTATTTTTTCTGGGGGGGGGGGCGGTAAACTCCATAGGGGCCTCAAATGTTGGGGGTCCCTTTGAAGACATCCTGGATCCGTCCCAGGTGCATTATGTGGGTAGTCAGCGTTCTAAGCTGCACGACATGCCTCGAGAAGGAATGCAGTTTCTTATTCAGTTGGGCCCCCACATTTGGGCTCTCAGACCTCGAGAAGAAAGGAGGCCAAATCCTGGCAGGGCCCGTTTGCTGAATTATATTCGGGTAGGTCTTTTTTTCGCTGCTCAGCGCCCTCTCCGCAGCAACTCATGCTAAAAAAAAACGGCGCCCCTGCCCTAAGTCTATACTTACAGGCGCGGCAAGATCCGTTGTCGGCCAGGACGGGGAAGGGGTGGGGTGGGGGTCATGGTGTAACCACCGCGGCGCTGGGTAACATTCCCCCCAAATATTTACGTGATAGGTCTTAGCCTCAGCCTCCCATTTTTGACGCAGAATGCATGCGCCTCCCGTTTTCCCAATCGAAATATAATTTTCAGGTCAGATTGCCCCTCAGATTCCGGACTCGCCCCTCCGATCTTGATCCCTCTGTCTCATCTCAGATACGTAGCAACACCCAAGGGTTCGTCTACGGCGAAGTGGGCGGAGCGGACGGGCTAAGTCCGGCCGCTTTTCCGGACGACATCAAGTTCAGCCCAGATGCTCTTTATTGGCCAGATGGCAAATAAAATTATATAAATGGCCCCATTTCAAACGATTCTGGATGCGCACCTAAATGTGCGCAGGAAAATCACGACGACTGATCCGTAAGTGCTCTGTGCTTGCAATTTCCCCTTCTAAATCAGTTGGAACGCGCTTGGTCATTAAAAACACATTTCAGTGACTTTCGCCATCTTGTCGAGCGGGTATAGCAATATGTGTGAGAACGTTTCGCATGACTACTGGAGATACGGCAGAATCGTGGTGCTGACGCTGCCGGATACGACACTGAAGCGCCAGCCGCCATTTCGCTTCAACGACGGCATGTCCGGGTGGCTTCACCGAGGGAGGCCTACCGTACCCGTGTTAACACGCGTCTGGGCGGGGGGGGGGGGGGGGTTGAGTACTCTTTGCTCCGGTGGGTGGTCAGTTTGACGCACAGAGATCTCGAACACTAAGAGCTAAGGAACCAAATTCACAGGATGGTTTGGCGGGTAATGTCATCAGATGGGTAGCTTTATCATCGGCACCAATGGCATGCCGATGTCATGTTCTGGTCGGGCGCGGGGTCCGCCCAAGGCGTCCAGCCACCTCTCGCAAGATTCGTTTTGCATTGTCTCCCTCCAGGCGTCTTTGGCCATCCGATAATTGTGCTTTATTGCTTTGATTTCCCCGCCATTGTAGCCTGAATTGCTCATTTCCACAGCGCCTTTCGGCTCTATCATTGAAAATCCGTTAAATTGCATTGCTCAGGCGAGACGGGCCCAGCGAGCGCGAGGCAATCAAACATCACTTAGCGTACGGGGAAACGCGGCCCGCATACGAAAAGAAGTCAGATGAATGAATCCGTCCGCACAGTACCACTCAGTCGAAAACGAATGGCTTCCGGCGCAGACAAAATGGCGAACAATATGCTCGCTGTCGCTGAGTATTTGAATGATCTTTTTTCCCTGCCATCCTACTCAGGTCTGAAGCACAGTCTACAGTGATTGACTGGTCCATGAATTGAAAAGGAGCCTCGCTCTGTTTGACTGAGTTCCCGTAGAAGTGAGCTCGCGACCGACGCCTGAGTGCTCAGGTTTGAAAAAGGCTCAACAATTGTGTGATCATGCCCTGGAGGCGATAGGCCCATGTAACACCTCCACGGAGTACGGAGCTCCACCTCCGAGGTGAGTTATTTGTGACAAACTTCAGCTAATGCTGATCCGTTCACGCCGCTGTGAAACAAAACGACCAAGTGAGAACCAAATCATGCCTGATTTAGCGGTGTTAGAAGTCCTTGTTCAGCAGCACTCCATCACGTAACATCTCATCACATTAAGGCCCCGGGCTCCCATCGCAGTCCGTCTCGCCAACCACCAACGGATCAACAGTGCACGGCTCTCGCCGCAACAGAAACATACCACCGAACAAGCGCCAGAACGTAACAGCAACCGTCTACTGTAACAGCTCAGCCTGCCACTCTGTAACAGCACGGGACCAGCCAGGCAGTCCAGGCACCCGAACACTCTGGCCTCCACGTGACAGTGAAGTCCTGACATCGCCCAACAGCACCCGTGGTGACGCTGGCTTTTAAGCACAGCCACCGCCGTGTCAAACAGATTCAACAACACCAGTTAAACTGCGTTGTTCTCGCAGCACCATCCCGGCATTCGATTCCGCTCTCGGCGTCCTTTACTAGCCACTAGCGCACCACGCGAAGACCGGACCGGACCGGATCGCCGTCATCTAACTGAGCCGCCGCCCCCGGCGCGAGGACGGCGGCGTTCATCACACGGCCGTCTCCCACTGGGCCCAGTAGGAGGCCGTCTGCATCTCGGCCAGCCGCGAGACGGTCCGGTCGAACGCGAACAGCTCCTCCTCGCCGGTGAAGATGCTGGCCACCTCCAGCTGCGGCCGTCGGAACGGGGTCAGAGCGTGCGCCGCGCCCGACTACCCGGACCGCACGCGAAGACAGTGAACGGACGCTGCCACCAAGGGCCAGACGCTGTCACGGACACGGACACACGCAACATGACATGGTCATCATCCATTGAATGATGCGAGGGCAGTCTCCCATACCCCATACCTCAGGCGCATCTGAATTCTATTTCTAGCACTGTCTGCCACCTCCCATGGGGCACACTGGGCAGACGCGTCTAAATGACTGCAAAGATCTACGTGCTGTATACATGCAACACAGCCGCGCTTCCTCCTCTCCCTGACGAGTTACTCACCGACTCATTTCCCAGCGCCAGGTCGTCCATGAGAGCACGCTTGTCGTCGCTGACGTCGGTGTCCTTGGCGGCGGAAAACAGGCTGGAGAGCGGCGCCTCGGCCGTGATCACCACCCGCACCTGGAGCAGCGGCATCGACGGTCACCGGCGAGGAGGGGATCACTGCCAGCAACAAGACCGCGGGTGACACCGTCGGTCACCGGCGAGGAGGGGATCACTGTCGGACACACGTGTGCGGACCGCGGATGACACCGACGGTCACCGGCGAGGAGGGGATCACTGTCGGACACACGTGTGCGGACCGCGGATGACACCGACGGTCACCGGCGAGGAGGGGATCACTGTCGGACACACGTGTGCGGACCGCGGGTGACACCGACGGTCACCGGCGAGGAGGGGATCACTGTCGGACACACGTGTGCGGACCGCGGATGACACCGACGGTCACCGGCGAGGAGGGGATCACTGTCGGACACACGTGTGCGGACCGCGGGTGACACCGACGGTCACCGGCGAGGAGGGGATCACTGTCGGACACACGTGTGCGGACCGCGGGTGACACCGACGGTCACCGACGAGGAGGGGATCCTCGCCGGTCCCAAGTGCGGGCGTAGGGGGTGGAGAGACAACTGCGACAACCACGCGTGGGGACGGAGCGATATTTTCACCGGTCACACCTGAGAGGGACGTCGCGCCTGGTCCGATACGGGGGAGCGTACAGAGCCGAACGGCGCGTGGCTGGCTGCTCACCCGGTGGTCGTACAGCGTGTCGATGAGTGTGATGAAGCGGCGCGCCTGAGCCCGCCTCTTGGCGCTCAGCTGGGGCACGTC